TAAACAGCCTTCCTCAACCTCATCACTCTGCCCCCAACCTTTTCATGATGCTCCTGAAGCTCCTTGGAATAGCATCCTCCCTGGCCTGCAGCACCTGAAGCTAAATAAACATAACCTTATATGACTTGTCTGGCCTTTGATCAATGGGCTTCACCAAGACAAAATTGTACAAGTAAGGTACTTCTCTTTGTTTCATCTTTTTTTTTTTTTGGTACTGGGAGTCAAACTCATGACCTTGTGCTTGCGAGGCAGGCACCGGAACCACTGAGCTAAATCCCCGGCCCTCATCTTTTTTTTTTAATAAGTCCCATCTGATTGTACAAGAAAGGTACTTCTTTTTGTTTTATCTTTTTTTATAAGTCCCACCTGTTTCAAAGAAAAAATATATAATTAAAGAAAAACCTTAACTATAATAACAAAAAGACAAAATTCTTAAGGACAAGTACAGCAAGAACTGAAAAGTTCAGACTAAAAAATAAGCTAATCAGGACCAGGGATTTAGCTCAATTGCACCACGCCTGCCTCGCAAGCACAAAGTCCTGAGTTCGATCCCTGGTACCAAAAATTAAAAAATAAGCAAACACAAATAGCCAAGACAACTCTGAAAAGGAATAATGAGGATATGCTAATACTACCAGATATGAAGCTATGATTAAAAACACTATAGTACTAATACAGTAATAGAATGACCAATGAAAATGAACAGAAATCTCAGAATAACCAAAAAACCTGTACCTAAAGGAATTCAACAAACGATAAAAGTGGTATTTCCAATGAATGAAGGAAAGACAGCAGTTAAAGTTAATTTTGTTGGGCTGTAGCTCAGTGGTAGTGCCTAGCATGCACCAGATCCTGGGTCTAACCTCTAGGATCACATGACCACATGACACTCCCCCCTGCCCCATCAAGTTGGCTTGGAAGGTATTTTTGTGCAAAATTTAACAATTTAAATTGGTGGCTTGAGTAAAGCAGATTGCGCCCTGCATCATGTGGGCAAGCTTCACTCAATCACTGTGAAGATCAGACTATAATAAAAAGAGAAGCTTTCCTCAGCAGGAGGGACTTCAGCAGCCCACCTTTGGACCTCGACCTCATCTGCACCCTCAATGCTCCTGGGTCTCCACCAAGACAGCCCACAATGCAGGTTTTGGACCTTTTGGGCTCTGTTATTGTATAATCCAATTCTTTATAATAAATTACACACATATACACACTTCCTACAGCTTCTATTTCTCCAGAGAATCCTAATACAACAGCCTACACAAGAAAAGGTGGCTAAATAACCAAGTAGCCATCTGGGAAAAACAAAAAAAAAACCCCTAAGTGGGACTGTAGCTCTCTCCACAGACTGCAAAAAGTGAAATGTAAGAATGAATATATGAAAATGCTACAAATAACAAGGAAAAATTGGAAGGACTTTAGAATCACTAAAAATAAAATACAGAGATCATACAAAGAAGTGACTGGTAATTTTGACAACATAAAAATGATTTTTTAGAAATGAAACCCTTCTGCTTTACAAAAACCCTACTATAATTAATGTCAAAAGACAAGATTGGGCAGCAGTAATTCATCACAAACATTCAACTTCCCTACACATATAGGGTTTTCATAAATCAATTTTTAAAAGACCAAACACTGAATCATAAAAACCAAGATTAAAAAAACATGAATGTACAGTCCATTTTAAAAAATGTTTTAAATATATAAGATATTGATTGCCACTAATAAGATTAATGTAAACTACAACTGTATTATCAAACATTGACAATGTGTAGGGAACCACCCTGTCACACATGTAATAAACTGGTACACTCTCTATGGAGAGTAATTTAACAATATCTACCAGAAAGAGCAAATGCACACACCCTTGACCCAGCAATGCTGCTTTCTAGCAATTTTATCCTACAGATATTATTATCCATTTATAAAATGAGACACACACACACACACACGCAGTTCATCATGGCAGCACTATCTGAATTGCAAATAACTAGAAATAATCTAAATGCCCATCAAAGAGAACTGGTTAAATATATTATGGTATGTCTATAAATGGAATAGAGCTATAAAAAATAATGAGGGATAACTATGTTCTGTTTTGGAAAGATCTCTAGAAAACATTTAAAGGAATAGAAAAGAGATGAAGAAAAAAACACAAGAATATGGATAGTAATAATAGTATGTTATCATTTGTACAAAAATAGGGTAGAAATTTGAATACAGCATTGTGCAAAATCCAGAAAAACATACAATAAACTAATAGAATGGTTATCTGGCAAAGGGTAGGGTGGGTGGTGAAGTGAGTAGGGGGAACTAAAATGGGAAAAATACTTTTCTCTGTATCCTTTACTTGTGCTTTTTAATCTCTGAAGCATGTGACTGTATTCACTAGTCAAAAAAGTAAGTATAATAAAAAATGTTAAAGACACAAAATGAGACCTTAATGAAACCCTAAAATTAACTTCTGTATCAACTGCATTAACAAAAGACATAAAATATTATTGCTGACCATCTTCTATAAAATCAATAGGTTGTGTAAGGTATGTTTGGAGAAAAAAACAGACTGCATGAAGGAATATTCTGATCGTTATAAAATCCTGGCTGATTAAATATAGTTAAGCTTCTTAGGCATTTAAACATAAATGTGAATTTAGTTAATTTAATAAATTCTTATTGAAATTTGGCTTAATTTTGTTAATATTCTATTAGTAATTTTTACTTCATTTTAGAATTAATGTGAAGTTACTATTTGGGTTTTAGAGGTGTTAACTATATCTGCAATGTTAGATCTCATTTCTTAGAGAAACTTTCTAGGTATGTACTTGGTCTTTCAACTCCCTAATCACCAAGACTATTCCTGTCCTATCAAACCATCTGGCTAGGTCACCTAAATGTCTCCAACTTCAACCTTTTTTTTAAACCCTACAATGAATTTAATGAAATTTTTAACCTAGATATTCTTTAGCTCATGAGTTTGAACACACAAAAAATTTGCAATGTGTTTTGAGTAATGTTAGATTTTACTCAGAATAAACAAAAATGACCATATAAATATAAGGATCATGGCTGTATAGTATTTCATACCATATAAAACTGTATTCAAATCAGTAAAATAATGATAGTATCAAAGTATAAGCCCTAAACTAAGCACACTAAAATAGTATTCATTTTTAAAAGATTTTATTTGTAGTATGCTTTCCATATTTAAATGTGAAGGATATTAAATAACTAATTGCCATCTGCTGGAAGTCATCAGTGAATGCTTCATAAAGGAAACAAATTTTGAGTTTCATATTAAAGGAAATGACAGGCACTCAGAATTCTTAATCACATTGGTTTTACAATCAAAATTTCATTTCAGCACACTAGAGTAAAATGAGTAATGTAATCCCTCTATTGAGTCCTTAAATTTTGATGACATGACAAAACATTCTATGTCTACAGATAAGTTCAATAAAGTTCTAAAAGCCTCTTTAAAAAGCCTACAACTTTATCTATCAAAAGGCTAGATTATCAGTCTGCCATTTAAAAAGAGCTGATGTTGAGGGGCTTTACAATGTTCACATACTTTAATAAAAGCTACACCAGTTAATCCTCAAATAATGTATATCCCTACTTCTATAAACTCCAGATATATTACCAAAACATTGAAATATATATACAGAAAGTTAGATTGCATAGAATCATCAAACTCTCCAGTGGTTAACATATTTTCTTTAAATCCACAAACTTTAGAACTCTGTAATCAAAATCCCAAAAACTCAGTAAAATACTTAAGAAATTCATTAAGTTGATTAAAATTAAACTCAATGTATTTATATAGTTGGCTTAAGGTCAACCTCTCCAATCCATGTAAGAAGCCCTATAAAAAGATAAAATCCCATGTCATATATGATCTTCTCTTTATCACCCTACCCCACAAGAGAAAAAAAAAAAAGAGGGGAGGAAAAGACTGAAATGGTTCCTGTGCTTCCTGTGCTTAAGACTGAAAAAGCTGTGAGTCCTATCTGTGTCCAGAATGACACTCCTGCACTCACAACTCCTCCTCACTCCACTCATGAGTAACAGTCTGAAAACAAAATGAAACTGAATCATTTTATCAAATACATTATGTCCTATGTACTATTTTTCTTAATATGTAAACAGAAATACATAGCCTAATAACCTAAAAGAGTACTTAAAGAGCCCGATTCAAACGAGAAATGGCTTAATATACTTATGATTCTTGATAGTAGCTTAATATGTTGTAATTCCAGTAATTATCTGTTTATAAGCTAGTTTAAAGAGAATACTACTGTCAAAAGGCAACAATGGGGCCGGGGATTTAGCTCAGTGGCATAACGCCTGCCTCACACGGGCAAGGTCCTGTTCTGATCCCCAGTACCCCAACCCCCCCAAAAAAAACAGGCAACAATGTTTTCATGCAGTAGCACTTAACATCGAAACAACACCAAAAACGTCAAGATAAAAATATCATGCACTTGCCAAGTAGTGGGATTAAATGATCAGCAAAACCATTTTCCTGAGTAAGCCTTAACAAAGTGTCAGAACATTTTACTGAAAGATTTCAAACACAAATAACAATGTGCAAGGAGTGACACTTTCTGCTATCACCAAGAAGTATGCAAGCTGCTATTAAACTACTCATTCTTCCCACTCTTCAATCTCAAACATGTAGAAAAGAATGAAGAGGGCTGGGGATTTAGCTCTGTGATGCCGAGCCTGCCTCAAAAGTGCAAGGTCTTGAGTTCAATCCCCTGGTACCAAAAAAAAAGAATGAAGGGAGAAGGGGAAAGAGAAAGGGAGGGAGGAAAAGAGGAAAGAAGGGATTAGGTTAGAGTTTGCATTTTCTCAAAACTAACATCACCACCCACTCCACCCCCATCCCTGTAAACACAATTATCAGAATAGAACGGTAGGATTTTCAGAGAATGGCTTGCCCCTGAACATAGAGCTGGAGGAGAAAACAAGAGCTGGGGAGCGGAGGCTGTGCTCACCTGCTGTGGCTGGTACCTCTGCTGGGACTGGGATGGCAGATACTGTGCCTGGGGCTGTAGGTGCGGGGGCTGTGGCTGCTGGTTGTAATATGGCTGCTGGCCTTGTTGACAGTAACCACTCACACCTTGTTGTCCATACTGAGGTGGCATCTGTCAAAAAATTAAACAAAGAAAGGACAAAATCAAATATGCGATTAAATGTAATCAAGTATGGTTTCGATTTATTAATACGAAGTAGGACTTTTGCTAAGCAACTGAATCTAATATTTTTAATCCTCTCTTCATTAGATGAACTAACATACTGCCTTGTATTCACATATTATCAATGAAGTCAAAAGACAAAGGATAATTTGACTTTGCCTTAAACAATCATATTTTATCAGACATCAAGTACTGATGTCATAAAAATCTAGTAGAGAAAAATAAGTTCCTAATACTGACATTTAAAAATTCAAATGAACGCACACAGTCCAAGTTAACTCATTAATGTTCTGTAGGATGCCTGTGGTTTGGTTGCTTAATACAGTACACATGTTTCTAAGTTCACAACAACAAAAGTTAGAATGTCCCAACTATATTCTATCAGATATGGGCCAGTTACATTAGCGATTTCATTTACAGTTTTTGCAAGGGGCTGGGGACACATTCGCCACCAAAGGAACTGGGTGAAAACAAAGGCCCATGTGTTACAGGCATGTGTAAGAACTGGGACCTAGTGGGAGGTCTTCAGGTCTAGGAGGCACGCCACTGAAACAGACTGTAGGACCCTGGCCCCCCTCCCCTCTCTCTTTTTCCTTGGCCATGAGGTAAGCACTTTTTCTCTGTCATGATGTGTGCCTCACCATGGACCCAAAATCATGGGCCCAGCCAATCATGGACTGGGCCTTCAAAATTGTGATCCAAAATAAACCTTTTCTTTTTATAAGATGATCATCTCTAGTATTTCTTATCATGATGGAAAGCTAACACAAACACATAGAAAACAGCACTATGTATATACAACCGCCAATATGAGTTGTTGAGCGAAATTCATGAATATGTAACAGAGAACAGTATTTTCTTAGTTGATAAAATAGGCCACATTAAAAAGCATAATGCAAAAAAAAGAAGCATAATGCACTATAAACACTAGAGATACACACCAAAATAACCTGAATCAATCTTCCCTAATTTACATGAGCCTGAAAGTTCTCAAAATTACTGTTCAGAAGAAAATCTTTTCTTGTGTAACACTTTATTGATACTATTTCCTGATTTTTTTAAATGAATAGTCTACTGACTTTTCCCCCTAACGAAGAGAGGGGAGAGGGGAGAGGGGAGAGGGGAGAGGACAAGGTATCAAAACAAAGAGCATTCTAGAGCTGAGAATCGTGAAGTCACTCTGTTAATGCCACAATACGGTCCATTTGAGAACTCCAAGAACTTGATCCCCACAAGCTCACATGCTTAAGAAATTAAGGCATACCAGATACACACTTAAAAGCCAAATTCACTACAGAAAAACTGAATAAATAAAAAGAAAAAACAATAAAGAAAATCTTAACACATTTCCCCTCTAAGACAAATTAATACAGTAATTTATAGTACATACAATGGAATAAAAGGAAAATAATATTTAAAGCTAAAGTTTCCATTTCTTTCAACATAATTCTGATTATTTTCAAAACCTATCAGTAATGAAAACAAAGAGTAGCTACAATGGCTTATAACACCTCTCATCACAAAGGCTGGGCTGTTAGAGCAGATGACTCTGAACTAAAAATCATTAAACAGAACAGCTGAATTCTTTGCTTTTATTTATCTTACAGTTTGGTATTTCATAATGAATGTATGTCCCTGCCACAAGCCAAGCCAAAGAATTTCCATAAAATACTACTCCACATGCTAGAATACCATACACTGCCACAAAACACACCCTCCAGTTCAGTGCCCATATGTTTGATTTGCTATCTAATACTGTATTTCACACAAGCATCTTTGCAGTTTAATTTGACGCAGTGAGGATAACACTTCTGCCAGTGTTAAAATGACTATAAAGCTCAGTCATCACAAGCCAGCAACTTCCCTAGGAACATGTTGACGTTCTGGTTTGCAGAAACCCTCACACACAATGTGAAAGCATCATTTGGGGAGGGAGGGGACTCTGTCTTCTAAGCACAGCAACAACAACAGGACATACTGCAGGAACCCACTGGTATCACAGCAGCCACAAATTATCAGACTCTTTTACTATCTGTCCTGGCTCCAGAAAGTTTCTGGCAGGTCAGGGGCCCAGGAGGTTAGGTGGGAGCCATAGCAGTAACCAGGCAAAACAAGGCAAACCATCTAAAACATATACTTTGGAGTCCTTTCTGAAATCTTTCACAATTAAAAAACAATCTGCTGTCCTCTTACATACTTGGTCTAATTCATTCCTTGGTGACAGACTTCACTGGCACTTCACCCTCCGTGAGCCTAGTTAGAATGAGGAAATCTAAAACACAATGTAAGTGGGCAGTCCAGTAGACCAGGGCCCCAGTGCCAGTCCCCTAAGTAACTAAAGCAGATCATTTCCCTATAGGAACATCTGAGTTAGAAGTCCAAAATCAGTCAAACTATTAAACACAACCATCCTTATATCCTTACTTATTTATTTTACCACAGGGGCAACAACTAACTTAGGTAAGCCTGTATCTCTGTGTTCATGTATTTGCTGTTCTCATCACCAGAATATAACCTCACACATTCAGTGTATGCCCTGTAGAAGACAACCTAACAGTTAAGAAACACTAGTTGAAGCCTGGTATGGTGCACATGCCTGTAATTTCAGCATTCGATGAGGGAGAGGCAGAAGAATTACAAGTTTGAGCCCAATGTAAAGGTCTTTTGCTGCCTGCATTAGGTTGATTCCTACCACTCTGAAAAAGAAGATCAAAAGCATATCAGAAAATGGGAAGATATTCCTTGTACTTGGGTAGGAAGAATCAATATAGTGAAAATGGTCATACTTTCAAAATTGTTATACAGATTTAATGCAATCCTGATCAAAATACCAATAGCAAATCTAACAGTTATGAAACACTAGTTGAAGCCTGGTATGGTGCACATGCCTGTAATTTCAGCACTCGATGAGGGAGAGGCAGAAGAATTACAAGTTTGAGCCCAATGTAAAGGTCTTTTGCTGCCTGCATTAGATTGATTCCTACCACTCTGAAAAAGAAGATCAAAAGCATATCAGAAAATGGGAAGATATTCCTTGTACTTGGGTAGGAAGAATAAATATAGTGAAAATGGTCATACTTTCAAAATTGTTATACAGATTTAATGCAATCCTGATCAAAATACCAATAGCATACCTCATAGTACTAGAGAAAAGAACCCTAAAATTCACTTGGAACCAGAAGGGAATAAAAAAAGTAATTCTGGGCAACAAAGGCAAGCCGAGAGGTACTGCAATCCCTGACTGAAAATTACACTACAAAGCTACTGTGATAAAAACAGGATGGTAGCGGCAAAGAAAAAAAAAACCCAAGGATTAGTGGAACAAATTAGAAGACACAGAAACAACTGCAAACACACTCAATCACCTTATCTTTGACAAAGGGCCAAACACCTTCACTGGAAGAAAGATAGCCTCTTCACTAAATGGTGCTGGAAAACTGGCTTTCCACATGCCAAAGATTAAAATTAGACCCATACCTCTCACCTTGCACTAAACTAAAATTGAAATGGATCAAAGATCTAAATATTAAAACAGAAACACTAAATCTGCTGGAAGAATAGGTAGAACTGTTGACGACATAGGTGTAGGCAGACTTTATGAACAAAACCTCAATTGCACAGGAAATATTACAAAGAATCAACAACTGGGATCACATCAAATTAAAAAGCTTTTGCACAGTGAAAGACACCACCAACAGAGTGAAGAGACAGTCCACAGAGTGGGATCAGACAAAGGACTAATACCTAGAATAAAGAACTTAAAAAAACCAGGACCGCCTCCCCCCAATTTAAAGACCCAATCCAAAAATGGGCATCTGAAATAAACACTTCCCAGATGAAGAAGTACAAACAGAAAATAAATATATGAAAAAAATGTTCAATATCACTGGTCATTCAAGAGATGCAAATTAAAACAACACCGAGATTCCATCTCACTCTAGAAAGAATGGCTATTATTAAGAAATCAACCAATAAAAAATGCTGATGGGACTGTGGGGGAAAAGGAACCCTGCTCCAGTGTTTGTGGGAGTCTAGACTAGTGCAATCACTGTGGAAATCAGTGTGGCGATCCCTCAAAAAATGAACTAGAGTTTCCATTTGATCCAAGTACTCTCCCTCTTGATATCTTCCCAAAAGAATTAAAAGCATCATACCATAGGGATACATGCACACCCAATGATTATAGCAGAACAATGTGTAAAAGCTAAATCTTGGAAAAAGCCCAAGTACCCATCAACAGATGAATGAATGAAGATGTGTTTTTATACAATGAGTACTACTCTGCCATAAAGAATGATAAGCTTGAAACATTGTGGGTAAATGAATGGACCTTGAGACCATATTCTTAGGAGAAATAAATCGGACACATACATTTAAATATCGCATTATTTCTCTAATGTGAGAAGCACTAGGGTAAATAAGGGCCAAAATGTATAAAAGATAATGGGAAACAAGAAGAAAATCTTCAAATGGGAAAGGAAACAAGGGAGAAAGGAGCGGGGAAGGAAGAGGAAAAAAAGAGAATAGAAGGAAAAATCCAAACAAAGTTTTTGTAAATAAGGAGGGGAAGAGGGGTTGAAGGGAGGGGAGAGGATTGGCGAAAAAAGAAGAAATCAAGATATACTATGTACAGGTACAAATTCCCTATGATGAATGTGATCATTATGTATATCTAAAATGTACCAATAAAAATTTTTAAAAATAAAAATCAAGGTTAAAAAAAAAGCAAGATGTATCCCAGCCCAAGCAAGTCAGCAAGACCTTGTCTCAAAACAGAACATAAAGCAGGGCATAATGGTGCACACCTGCAATCCCAGCACTCAGGAGGCCGAGGCAGAAGGATCATCTTGAGTTTGAGGTCAGCCTGGGCTACACAGTGAGTTCAGGGCCAGCCTGATCTAAAGAATGAGACCCTGTCTCAAAAGGAGGAGGGGGCTGGGGATTTAGCT